AGTACCTGGAGACCTGGTCCTGATCAAGCAGCTGCAACCCCGAGCCTTATCTCCACGGTGGGAAGGCCCATATACCGTAATCCTCACCACTCCCACCGCTGCCAAGCTCCTTGGTCTTCCCTCCTGGTATCACCTGTCCCAGCTGAAAAAGGCACCCACCCAACATGATTCCAATTGGACCACTCAGGTTGTTGCCCCTACCAAGTTATGACTCATGCACGCAGGTAACGACCCTCTGCCTAACCTTCCTTGGCCACATAGTCCTCCCGAGTCTAGGTGAGAGTCCTGCCCAAACTCCCCCCACCAATCCATTCCGGTGGAGGTTCTACCTTTCCGATACCTGGACCCAGGGAAATCACATGAGCTCCCTCACTGTAGCCACAGTAGACTGCCAACCCCAGGGGTGCCAAAGCCAAGTAACCTTTAATTTCTCCTCCTTCAACAGTGTGCCCTGTACTTGGCAGCACTCGGCCATTTGTTTCACATATGATCAGACATGATGCCTGTCGATCTACTTGGGTTGAAACCAATGGAGGCTGCCCTTACTACTACTGCAACATTCACTCGGCCATACAGGACACCAAAGAAACCCTCTGGCAGCAGCCCACTTCCTCCGTGTGGCTGACTACAAACCTCAAGTCTACCTTTTTCCTCACCATCCCTGACCCTTGGGACTCGAGGTGGGCATCAGGGGTTGAGGCCCGCCTTTACCGAGGGCAGAGTGAGTCTTATCCCGTGGCCTGACTCAGGATCTTTAAGGCCTACATCAGGGTCATAAGCAGCCTTGTCAGCCTGGCCTCTCACATCAGACAACAGGAGGAAGCCATCTCAGCTCTAGCCGACCCAGGCAGCAAGCCCCAGGACAGCAGCAACCCTTTTTCCTTGCTAATCTTAGTCAGGGAAGGGGCTCAAGTGGTACACATGGCCGGGGTACACAACATCTCTCGCTGTTTCCTGTGTGCAGCCTTGAATAAGCCCCCACTGGTTGCGGCACCCTTACCCAGCCCTTTTAACTCCTCTAACCTAACCCTCTCCTCCCCCCTCCCTTGCCGGACCCCAGGAGAAGTCCCCTTGTTTCAAGACCCGCTTAGGCAACAATTCCCCTTTTGCTACTCCACCCCCAATGCTTCCTGGTGCAAACAGACAGGATCTGCACCTCTAAATCTAACCGCCCCTCCAGGTGGGTATTTTTGGTGCAATTCCACCCTGTCAAAAACCCTCCATGCCCCCAACACTGCCCTATGTGTTCCCATCTCCCTAGTCCCCAGCCTCACCCTGTACAGTGAGGCCGAGCTATCCTCCCTCCTGCCATCTGCCCTCCCCTGCCAGGCAAGGGCAGTATTCCTTCCATTGATGATCGGAGTCTCTTTAGCCTCATCCCTCATAGCCTCCGGCCTAGGAACCGGAGCCCTAAGTCATTCTGTCCAGGCCTCTCAGGACCTTTCAGCCCAATTACAGGTAGCAATCGAAGCTTCTGTGGAGTCCTTGGCTTCCCTCCAACGGCAGATCACCTCGGTCGCCCAGGTGGCAGCCCAGAACCGTTAGGCACTCGACCTCCTTACAGCCGATAAGGGCAGCACCTGCATGTTCTCAATGAAGAATGTTGCTACTACATCAGTGAATCAGGACTAGTAGAAACCAATCTCCTCACTCTAGAAAAGATTCAGGAAGGGCTCCACCAGAGAAACCACAGATCAGGGCCCGCATTTGGGTGGTGGCAGTTGTCTATAGCCGGTTGGGTCCTACCCTTTCTAAGCCCCTTACTAATCATTGGCTTCTTGCTACTCATAGCTCCCTGTGTCCTCTGCTTCGTCCAGGACCACATAACAGAAGTCTCCCGGGTCACTGTCAATCAGATGCTACTCCACCCCTATACCCGAGTTCCGACCTCCGAAGAACCCCACAATGACCTATACCAGCAGGAAGCAGCCAGATGAACACGTCGCCCTTTTCTTATTAGAAAGAGGTCAGAATGTTAGGCAGGGACATAGACCCAACATGGCGGTACCACCTGACATGGCAGGCCCCTTGTCGGGACTTTACCTGCTGGGACTTCCTGCTAGGACTTTTCAGCGCGTGAAAAGCACCCTGAGCCCGCCAAAACTCCCCGCTCTGCACAAACTCCTGGACACCTCATTCCTCAGAAACTGAAACCTACAGACCCCGCCTACCTCGCCCTATAAAAGGCCCCTGATACCTGCCCTGTGTGACTTCCTCGGCCCTCCTCCTAGGGGACCGGTGAACCTCGCCCGCGAGCCCAATAAAGGCTACCTCTGTTCTCATCTGCCTTATGTCTTCTTGCTCGGCTCCCCATTACATTACACTATATAGAATGGTTTTATGTCTGCAGTTCACTGACATCAGGTTTGGCTATATGGCTTGCTTTAGACCATGAACTTTGAGTGGAAATGACATGTGCCACTTCCAAGAGGAAGCTTTAAGAGCCGTCATGGGGTCTGCTACCTTTCCTCTCTTCTGTGTCTGGAAACGAAAAGTTTCAGCTTGAGGCTTTTCCTTCAGACTGGGCTCTGGAATGAAGATAGCATAGAACAGAGCAGTCCCATGGAGGACATGGATGTGAGTGAGAAATCAACATGGTGTTGTGAGTCCCTGAGAGGTGGAGATTGCTGTTATGCAGCCTAACTGGATCCCAGCTGATAGATGCAGCCTCCCTGTGGGTTGCGGATGCTCCTTGTTCAGGTATCCTTTCCCATCACCATGACAACTGACACACCATAATGAGCTATGCTGATGTTAGGAAGTCTCCGCCTTTGCCCCTCTTCAGAGCTCTTCACCCTCAGGTCCTAACCAGTGAGCCTATTTCTTTTTTTTTTTTTTTTGAGATGGAATCTTGTTCTGTCGCCAGGCTGGAGGGCAGTAGTGCGATCTCGGCTCACTGCAACCTCTGCCTCCTGGGTTTAAGCAAATATCGTGCTTCAGCCTCCTGAGAAGGTCTCGAATTCCTCACCTCTGGCCATCCTCCTGCTTTGGCCTCCTAAAGTGTTGGGATTACAGGCATGAACCACTACACCCAGTGAAGCCGAGTCTTCTTGATCCTTGCTGGCATTTGGCAACTAGTAGCAGCTGCTCACAGGAATTGTAAAAACATCTGGTGGCGCCCAGACCTTCTAGCATCAACATGGTGCCTAGTAAATATCAATCTCACATGCATCCTGAGATGCATTAAAAAGAAGTTGTCTGGGTGCAGCACACCAACATGGCACAAGTATACATATGTAACAAACCTGCACGTTATACACATGTACCCTAGAACTTAAAGTATAATAATAACAACAACAAAAAAAAAAGTTGTCCAGGCCGGGTGCGGTGGCTCACGCCTGTAATCCCAGCACTTTGGGAGGCCAACGGGGTGGATCACCTGAGGTTAGGAGTTTGAGACCAGCCTAGTCAACATGGTGGAACCCCATCTCTACTTAAAAAAAAAAAAAAAAAAAAGGCCAGGTGTGGTGGCTCACGCCTGTAATCCCAGCACTTTGGGAGGCTGAGGTGGGCGGATCACGAGGTCAGGAGATCGAGACCATCCTGGCTAACACGGTGAAACCCCGTCTCTACTGAAAAATACAAAAAATTAGTCAGGTGTGGTGGCGGGCGCCTGTAGTCCTAGCTATTCAGGAGGCGGAGGCAGGAGAATGGTGTGAACCCAGAAGGCGGAGCTTGCTGTGAGCTGAGATCGCGCCACTGCACTCCAGCCTGGGCCACAGAGCCAGACTCCATCTCAAAAAAAAAAAAAAAGGCCGGGCGCGGTGGCTCAAGCCTGCAATCCCAGCACTTTGGGAGGCCGAGATGGGCGGATCACGAGGTCAGGAGATCAAGACCATCCTGGCTAACACGGTGAAACCCCGTCTCTACTAAAAAAAAAATACAAAAATCTAGCCGGGCGAGGTGGCGGGCGCCTGTAGTCCCAGCTACTCGGGAGGCTGAGGCAGGAGAATGGCGGGAACCCGGGAGGCGGAGCTTGCAGTGAGCTGAGATCCGGCCACTGCACTCCAGCCTGGGTGACAGAGCGAGACTCCATCTCAAAAAAAAAAAAAAAAAAAAAAAAAATTCCCAGGTGTGATGGTCACGCCTGAAATCCCAGCTACTCGGGAGGCTGAGGCAGGAGAATTGCTTGAACCCTGGAGGCAGAGGTTGCAGTGAACTGAGATTGTGTCACTGCACTCCAGCCTGGGCGACAAGAGCAAAACTCCATCTCAAACACAAAACAAAACAAAAAGAATCATAATAGTAAGTGAAAAATCTGAATTAGTTTGTGTATGTGTATTGCTGCATATAACAGAGACCCAAATTAACTGTGACTTAAATAGAGAGTTTTTTTTTTTTGAAATGGAGTCTCGCTCTGTCACCCAGGCTGGAGTGCAGTGGTGCGATCTCGGCTCACTGCAAGCTCCGCCTCCCAGGTTCATGCCATTCTCCTGCCTCAGCCTCCTGAGTAGCTGGGACCATAGGCGCCTGCCATCATGCCTGACTAGATTTTTTGTAGTTTTAGTAGAGATGGGGTTTCACCGTGTTAGCCAGGATGGTCTCCATCTCCTGACCTTGTGATCCACCCACCTGGGCCTCCCAAAGTGCTGGGATTACAGGTGTGAGCCACCAGGCCCGGCCTGAAGACATATTTTCTATAAGGAAATGGGTAGATTTTAATGAACAATACCCCTTTTGTGGGCAGATTCCTAAGTCCCAGGCCCTCACAAGGGGTCAGTGGGCCTGGAGATGCCAGCTCCCGGCTGCCAGAGGCACTGCTCCTCCAGGGCCACTTCAGCCCACTTTTGATCACTAAGAATCCCAAGAAGGGCACAGGGAATTTCCTTTCTTACTGCCCATGGAACCTGTTGTTACTAGACATCCTGAAACATACTTTGGGAAACTGTGTCCAAAGACCCTTCTAGTTTCAAATCTGTGGATCCAGGGGTCTCCGCTGAACCTTATCTGATGCCCAAACTCCCACCCATTCACTCCTAACCAGAACACAGAAGACGACCTGGTGCCAAAATGAAAGCTTTAATAAGTGTTACTCCTAGACAGTCATGTCTCAGCTGCTGCCAGCCTCCATTGTCCCAGCTCTCTTAGCTGGGCGACAGGTTAGCTAGTTGCTGAGGGGTAGGGATCTGGAGTCTAAAGAGCAGAGCCAGGCAAAAGGAGGTACAGGAAGCCCCCAATGGGGGCTGGGCTCCCGGAGTGTGGTGCTGGGGGTCATGGGTTTCAGGCCGGCCCCTCTTCAGGTATTCCTAGCAAAGCTGCCAGGGGCTCCAGGGGTGTGGGGGTCCCCATGGGCACAGGGTGGGTACGTTCGTGCTTGCGCAGGTCGCTGGCACTCAAGAAGGCCTTGGGACAATGGGGGCAGGTGTAGGGGCGCACTGAGCTGTGAGTGCGGCTGTGTTTCCGCAGCCCAGCCCGGTCAGAGAAGCTCTTGCCACACTGGGTGCAGGGGAAGGGCCGGAGCTCCGGGTGTGAGCGCTCGTGCCGACGCAGCAGTGTCATTGTGGAGAAGGTCTCCTTGCACTCTCGGCACACAAACTGGGGGGGCTTCTCATCAGCCTCCTCACCCCCCACCTCGCCTGCCCCTTCCAGGGGACCAGGAGCCTCCCGGATGCCGGCATCTTGGCATTCCACATGCTCCACCGTCATGCCCACCACCTGCCACTGTGTGGCCATCACACCACCTGACTCCGGGGGCAGCCCTAGCAGCCCTGCTGGAGGGTCCCCTAGCCCCGCCCCTGCTGCCGGGGTGGCTGAGCCCTCGCCTGCCACGCCCACAGGCAGCGCCAACCCCACCACCAGCTCCTGTGCAGGGGGCGCCCCCGCGGCCTCACTGCTTCGATGGGTCCGCTCGTGCTTCCTCAGGCTCGATGACACCACAAAGGACTTTCCGCATGCATTACAGTGGAAGGGGCGCTCCCCCGAGTGCACCCGGCTGTGCTTCGTGAGGCTGGCACGCTCGGCAAAGGCTCGCCCGCACTCCTCGCAGCGGAAGGGCCGCTGGCCAGAGTGCACCAGCGCGTGCCGCTTGAGGTCCCAGGACGCCACGAACGTCTTGTCACACTGCAGGCACTTGAATGGCCGATCGCCCGTGTGCACGCGCCGATGCATGGCCAGGTCCGCCGGCTGCCGGAAGTCCTTGCCGCACTTCTCGCAGTGGTACGGCTTCACCCCCTCATGCGCGCGCTGGTGGCGCCGGAAGCTCGAGGGGTCGGAGAACATGCGGCCGCAGCGCGGGCACAGGAAGGGCTTCTCCCCCGAGTGTGTGCGCTCATGGCTCTGGTAGGAACTGAGCTGCGTGAAGCCCTTGCCGCAGGCCGGGCAGCGGTAGGGCTTCTGTGCCGCGTGGATGCGCTGGTGGCACGTGAGAGAGGATGAGCGGGAGAAGCTCTTCCCACACTCGGAGCAGAGGAAGGGGCGCTCGCCGGTGTGGGACCTGCAAGTGGAGGACTCGGCATGAAGGCGACAGACCCCATAACCTGACCCCACTGCCTGTCTGGGCTGTACTTTAGGGGTTCCCCAATCACCGGTGGGGGCCTAGGCTTAATCCCCTAAGAGCCACATTGCTGCACCCCAGAAAAAGAAGCCTTCAGGCTGGCTGGGTGTCTATTCCAAAGACCCGTCTCTGCACATTAAAGACCAAGATATGGGCCGGGCACGGTGGCTCATGCCTGTAATTCCAGCACTTTGGGAGGCCGAGGCCGGTGGATCACGAGGTCAGGAGATGAGACCATCCTGGCTAACATGGTGAAATCCAGTCTCTACTAAAAATACAAAAAATTAGTCGGGCGTGGTGGCGGGCGCCTGTAGTCCCAGTTACTCGGGAGGCTGAGGCAGGAGAATGGCGTGAACCCGGGAGGCGGAGCTTGCAGTGAGCCAAGATCGTGCTACTGCATTCCAGCCTGGATGGCAGAGCAAGACTCCGCCTCAAAAAAAAAAAAAAAAAAAGACCAAGATATGGCCAGGCACGGTGGCTCACACCTGTAATCCCAGCACTGTGGGAGGCCGAGACAGGCGGATCACCTGAGGTCGAGAGTTCAAGACCAGCCTGACCAACAGGGAGAAACCCCGTCTTCACTAAAAATACAAAATTAGCCGGGCATGGTGGCGCATGCCTGTAATCCCAGCTACTCGGGAGGCTGAGGCAGGAGAATCGCTTGAATCCGGGAGGCAGACGTTGCGGTGGGCCAAGATCACACCATTGCACTCCAGCCTGGGCAACAAGAGCGAGACTCCGTCTCAAAAAACAAAGAAAACCCCCCAAAAACCAAGATATGCGTCCCCTGCCTTTTTTTTTTTTCCCTGTTCCCCAGGCTGGAATGCAGTGGCCTGATCATGGCTCACTGCAGCCTCGACCTCCTGGGCTCAGGCCATCCTCCCACCTTAGCCTCCCAAGTACCCGGGACTAGAAGTGTACATACATCCCCATGCTTGGGTAATTTTTTTATTTTTATAGAGACAAGGCTTGCTATGTTGCCCAGGCTGGTCTTGAACTCTTGGGCTGAAGCGATCCTCCTGCCTCCTCCCAAAGGATTGGAATTATAGGCGTGAGCTATTGTACCCAGCCTATAAACGTGTCATTAATGTAGAGGCTGAGAAAAAAAAAAAAAAAAGACCTAGACAAACCCAGCCCCACTCACAGCTCCTGGTCTCCACCAAAGACCCTCAGAACCGCCCTTTACAGCTCCTGGTCTCCACCAAAGACCCTCAGAACCGCCCAACTCCAAACCCCACCCTTTCCAGCTGGCCTGGAATGGAGGCCAGTCTGACCCAATCCCATTATCAGGGATCCACCTCGAGGCGGTCGCCACCTCTGCCCAATCACAGGCATCAATTTCTCCCACATGCCTAGCCCCTCCCCTTGGATCTGCCCCACCCACCTTCCCATTGGCTCACTTTACCCTGAGATTCAACCCCAGGCCCCATTGGCTGCAGCGACGCTGTCGCCCCGCCCCGGAAGGCATCCTCACCGCTCATGGTTGCGGAGGTCCTTTAGCTCCGCGTAGGCTTTGCCGCAACGCTCACAGCTGTAGGGCCGCAGGCCAGCGTGAGTACGCCGGTGCTTGCGGAACACTGAAGGGTCAGCAAAGCTCTTGCCGCAGTCAGCGCAGGCATAGGGCCGCTCGCCCGTGTGGCCGCGCTGGTGGATCTTGAGCTTAGAGAGTGCGCCATACGCCTTGGGGCAGTGCGCACAGCGGAAGGGCAGTTCGCCAGCATGGGAGGCCAGGTGCACGCGCAGGCACACGGGCTGCATGAAGCGGCGGCCGCACTCAGGGCACGGAAAGGGCTTCTCCCCCGTGTGACTGCGCCCGTGGCTGCGCAGCTCGGGTGCCGTCTTGTAGGCCTTGGGGCACAGCGGACACGCATAGGGCCTAGGCTTAGCCGCCGAGCCTGCCACCTTGTCCCCACTGGCTTCCTCTGCCTTAGCTTCTGTCTCCGGCTTTGGCTTCACCTCAGCCAACTCCTCAGAGCAGTCTGCTGGCCCATGTGTGGCAGCGTGGCGCGCTGCCCTGGGCGCATTTGGAAATGTCTTGGTACAGGACAGGCACTTGTAGCGGCGGCCGGAGCGCTTGTAGCCGGGGGTTGGGGACCGGGCCTCTGCAGCCTCCACTTCCATGGCCTTGGTGAATGGAGTTTCCCTGCAAGAGAAGCAAAGTTAGACCAAAGCCACATACCTTCGCCACTCTTCAAGGCCTCAGAGAGAACCCTATCTCATCTGCATTTCTCACCTCGAAACCCCCACATCCTTCCTGCCCAGCATTCCTGGCTCTGACACCCTGTGTTCGTTTCCTCCCTGAACTGCTCATTGAAGAAAGGAGTTGGACCAAGTGACCGCAGAGCCACTAAGAAAGGAGGCTGGGGGTCACAAAAGATTCACCTATACTTCCCTCCTCAACCTCCGGGCTTTTCCAAACACTGTGGCATTCCCGGAGGTCCAGGTTCCATCTGTCTCACCATCTTCCTTCTTCAGCTCAGTGTCCAAGAACTATGCAAGGATCAGGATGAAGAGTGTACCCAGACGTGGGCCTGGCCCGAAGGTCTCCAAGCACCCAGAAAAGACAGACCTGGGACCAGAAAAGGGCTGAGCCAATGGGCTAAATCTGGTAGCTGGCACTGTCTGGAAGTGACAGGTCCCCAGCGTCTGTGTTTTCTTTCCTCCTCTGAATGGTTAGCCCCTCAGAGACAGCAACTGTTCACACAGAATTCTGCCCTTGCACAGCTGTACGGGCCTCCGCCCCAGACTGGAATCTGTCCACCCTCTGCTCTGGAATCCCTGTTGGCCTGTTCCCACAACTCTGGTAATGGAGAATCACTCTCAAGGCAGCCTGAGCCATTGCTAGCAGCTAGAAGCCTGTTTCTGAGTCATAACTGATATATCTGATCTAACGTGACCTCCTGGCATACCAGCTCTAGCTGAGATCCCTACTTTCTGGTCCAGAACCCAGACGCCCTCCACCCAGCTGCTCCTGGGGATCATGGCTAGGAGGAAACAGGATTAACGGCTGTATTAGTCTTAACACCAGCTCATCCTCCCTGGGGGATGAAGGGAAGAGGATTAGGGCAGATCCACTTAAGGAGTGCTCAGCAGCTGCTGCTGGGGGAAGGGGTCTGAGGAGTGGGGGCTGCAGGGAGTCAGGTGTGCCCAGAGGCTAGGAGGCCTACGTTCTACTTCCAGCCTGGTGGATTACTATGAGACCTCAGTGAAATGAGTGTTGTTTATAGGCCTATTTCCTCATCTGGACACCTTAGGGGTTGGTGGTTTCTAAGTTATGACACTGGGGTTGAGGAGGAGGAGGAAACTGAGCTGAGCCACGAGGGTGCTAGGGGAAATACAGAGACTCAGGGCCCCTTATGCCAGGAAAAGGTGGGAGAAACAGCTTACCTGGTTGACCCAGGGAGGACACAGGAGCCCCTGAGGCATGGCAAGGGCCACATCCTTAGAGTCAGCACTCTTCTGCCTGAAGTCCAGGCCTCAGGCCTGCACGCTGCCCTCCCTCCCCAACCCCATGCAGCCGGTGTTCTCCCAGAAGTACTGGATGATGTTTCCTGTTCCCTGCTTAAGAACTTTCCATGGCTTCCACCATACCATGCAAATCCCCAGGTCCTTCCTGCTTGTTCCAAATCTGACAAGCCCTTCACTGGAGCCCCACTTCCACCAGGAGGCTCCTCAAGCATCTCCCCTTTGGGTTTGGCCCCAATCCCACAAAACTCCATTCCATTCTCACTTGGTTATTTCACTTTTCCTGCTAAATCCTGGGGCTTAGCCAGGTGTGGTGGCATGCGCCTGAAGTCCCAGCTACGTGGGAGGCTGAGGCAGGAGGATCCCTTGAGCTCGGGAGTTCGAGGCTGCAGTGAACTATGATCATACCACTGAACTCTAGTCTGGGCAACCTGGTGAGACCCCATCTCTACTAAAAATAAAAATTAGCCAGGTGTGGTGGCATGCGCCTGTATTCCTGCCTACTTGAGAGGCTGGGGTGGGAGGACTGCTTGAGCCCAGGAGTTCAAGACTGCACCACTACACTCCAGCCTAGAAGATGGGGCAAGACACTGAATCAATCAATCAATCAATCAATCCTGGGGCTTGAAGATGAGTTAAAGGGATTGAATTCTAACCTTCCTGATGACTTGAATTCTTCCTACAGTTTCCAAAGGATCCCTCCCTATTTCTGGATGAGGTACTCACTACCTCTCTTCCAGACGGTTTCTGGAGATAAAGTTCCTCCTTAATAAAAATGATAGCTCGGGCCAGGTTCAGTGGCTCACACCTGTAATCCTAGCACTTTGGGAGACCAAGGCGGGTGGATCGCTTGAGCCCAGGAGTTCAAGACAAGGCAGGTGGATCCCTTGAGCCCAGGAGTTCAAGACCAGCCTGGGCGATACAGCAAAATCCCATTTCTACAAAAAATACAAAAATTAGCCAGGCATGGTGGTGCATGCCTGTACTCCCAGCTACTCAGAAGGCTAAGGTAGGAGGAATGCTTGAGCCCAAGCAGATTGAGGCTGCAGTAAGCCAAGATCGTGCCACTGCACTCCAGCCTAGCAACAGAGTGAGACCCTATCTCAAAATAAATAAATAAATAAAAATAAAAAAGATGGCGCACATTTACTGAGCACTTGCCAAATACCAGGCACTATCCTAAACTCCTTATGTGTATTAGCTCGCTTACCCTTCATGGCAACCCCATGAGAAAAGTTCTATTATTCCATTTTCACAGATAAGGGAACCGAGGTCCAGAGAAATGGTTCAGTATTTTGTTAAGTGCCCAGTCCCTGAAGCCAAACTGTCTGGCTTCAAATTTTGCCTCCATCACTTTTCAGCTGATGTGACCTTGTGTAATGTACTGCATGTCTCAGAACCTCAGTTTTCTAATCTGAAAAATGGAGGTAATGATAGTACTTACCTGACAGGGTTGCGTGAGGAATGAATGAGTCAAGAATAATTACTGTCCTCAATTATCAGAGAGTCTTCTCAGAGCCGGACACATTGCTGGGTGTGCTAGTTTATTTAATTTAATGTCTTATAGCTTCCTGAGATAGGGATTCTTGTCCCTACTTTACAGAGGAATAAATTGAGGTTCCAAGCATTAAGTGACTTGCCCATGGTCCCTCAATGGGTAACCTAAGCAGCTGGGACTTCAGTCCAGGTGTTTAATTTGCCTTAAGTTGCTGGGGTCTTGCTCAGTGGTCTGGGGCCTCTTAGGCTTGTCTGCTGCCTTGGCCAGCCCCGCAGTGACCAGAACCCTGGGCTCAGGTCATACCTGTGTCTTCTCTCATCCTTGCAGAACTGCCTTGAGACCCTGTCCGGCACCTTTTATGTCTCTGCCTCCCTCTCAGAGGGCTTGACCCAGTGGTTCTGAGCTCTGGCCCTTCTACTGCCTCTTGCCAGCTCTGGGTCTCAGCCTCCCTATCTGTGAGTCAGACACCAGGTAGCTGGAGGGGCAAATCCCTCCTGCCACAGCACTTCCCAGGGGAAAAGGTAGGGGAGTACCAGGTTAGTCTCAGCATGTGCCCAGCTACACAAAGAGGCCAGGTAGCCTAGGTTTCTGTCTAACATCCCACCATTAAAAAAATGTGTGTGTGTGTGTGTGTGTGTGTGTATATTTTTTTAAAGAGCTTGAGGTAGGCCTCAGGAATCTGTATTTTAAATACACTCTGGATCATTCCAGCCAATACTTTCGTTTGTTTGTTTGGTTTTGAAACATGGTCTCACTCTGTCGCTCAGGAGTGCAGTGGTGCAATCATGGCTCACTGCAGCCTTGACTTCCCAGACTCAAGCAATCCTCCCATTTCAGCTTCCCAAGTAGCTGGGACTACAGGCATGCACCACCATGCCTGGCTAATTTTTATTTTATTTTTAGTAGAGATGAAGTCTTGCTATGTTGCCTGGGCTGGTCTAGAACTCCTGGGTTCAAGTGATCCTCCCACCTCAGCCTCCCAAAGTGCTGGGATTATAGGTGTGAGCCACCGTGCCTGGCCCAACCAATACTTAAGAACCAAACACACATCCTTAGGTCTCCACAAGCTCTTAGGAGAGGAGCACTTGCCCCCACAAAGGAAAAAACATACACAAGGGCACACAGCTGGTCAAGGAGCCAGACTCAAACCCAAGTCTCCAGGCTCCTGGGCAGGACTCTCAACCAGTCTCCATTCTCTCCCCCAGGTTGAATCATGACACTTCCCACTGCTCCCAGGAAAAAGACCAATATCTTTTCCATGGCCAGCATAGCCCCAAACCATCTAAATCCTGCCTACCCGGGCAGATCACTTGAGACCAGGAGTTTGAGACCAGCCTGGCCAACAATGGCGAAACCCCATCTCTACTAAAAATACACACACACACACAAAACCCTGCCTACCTCACCTCCCACTCCTCTCCCCGGCCCACTGGGCTCTACCCACAGAGGCCCCCTTTCTTCTCCTCAAAGAGCTAAATTCCTTCCCACCTCAGGGCCGTGGCACTAGCAGTTCCCTCTGTCTGAGCCACTCTTCTCCCAGGATCTTTGTGTAGCTGTCTTTTTGGTTTTATTTGGATCTCAGCTCCCAGTCACCTCCTCAAAAAGAGCTTTCTTGACCACCTTTCCTTTTCCCCCCCTTTTAATATTTCTAATTTTTTCCTTTTTTAACCAACCAAGGAGCACAACCTTTCCAATGCTATCTTTACCCTGATAATCGCCTTCTGTCTACTCCTCTTTTTTTTTTTTTGACAGAATTTCACGATTATCTATAAGCAATTCTCCTGCCTCAGCCTCCTAAGTAGCTGGGACTACAGGTGCCTGCCACCACACCCGGCTAATTTTTGTATTTTTAGTAGAGATGGAGTTTCACCATGTTGGCCAGGATGGTCTCGATGGATTGACCTCATGATCCGCCCACCTTGGCCTCCCAGAGTGCTGAGATTACAGGTGTGAGCCACCGCGCCCGGCCCTTTTTTTTTTTTTTTTTGACATGGAGTCTCACTCTGTCACCCAGGCTTGAGTGCAATGGTGCAATATCTGCTCACTGCGACCTCTGCCTCCTGGGTTCAAACGATTCTCCTGCCTCAGCCTCCTGAGTAGCTGGGATTTATAGGCACCCGCCACTACATCTGGCTCATTTTTGTATTTTTAGTAGAGACAGGATTTCACCATGTTGGCCAGGCTGGTCTTAACTCCTGACCTCAAGTGATCCACCCACCTTGGCCTCCCAAAGTGCTGGGATTACAGGCATGAGCAACCGTGCCCGGCCCTCTTTCCTTTTTAAAAATTGATATTTTTATTTATTTATTTATTTATTTTTGAGACAGAGTTTCGCTCTTGTTGCCGAGGCTGGAGTGCAATGGCACGATCTCTGCTCACTGCAACCTCCGCCTCCCTGGTTCACAAGATTCTCCTGCCTCAGCCTCCCGAGTAGCTGGAATTACAGGCATCCACCACCATGCCCGGCTAATTTTTTGTATTTTTAGTAGAGATGGGGTTTCACCATGTTGGCCAGGCTGGTCTCGAACTCCTGACCTCCACTGATCCACGGCCTTGGCTTCCCAGAGTGCTGGGATTAGAGGCATGAGTCACCGTACCTGGCTTATTTTTATTTATTTTATTATTTATTATTATTATTTTTTGAGACAGAGTCTCACTCTATTGCCCAGGCTGAAGTGCAATGGCACGATGTCGGCTCACTGCAACCTCTGCCTCCTGGGTTCAAGCAATTCTCCTGCCTCAGTCTTCCAAGTATTTGGGATTACAGGTGCCCGCCACCAAGGTCAGCTAATTTTTTGTATTTTTAGTAGAAATGGGGTTTCGCCAGTTGGCCAGGCTGGTCTGGAACTCCTGACCCCAGGTGATTCACCCGCCTTGGCCTCCCAAAGAGATAGGATTACAGGTTTGAGCCACCATGCCCCGCCTATTTATTTTAATTTATTTATTTTCTTTGAGAGAAAGTCTTTGTTGCCTAAGCTGGAGTGCAGTGGCTGGATCTCAGCTCACTGCAACCTCCACCTCCTGGGTTCAAGTGATTCTCCAGCCTCAGCCACCCGAGTAGCTGGGATTACAGGCGAAAGCCATCACACCTGGCAAACTTGTGTATTTTTAGTAGAGACAGGGTTTCACCATGTTGGCCAGGCTGGTCTCGAACTCCTGGCCTCAAGTGATCCACCCGCCTCGGCCTCCCAAAGTGCTAGGATTACAGGCGTGAGACACCATGCCTGGTCTTTATTTTTATTTAGAGATCAGGTCTCACTCTGTCACCCTGGAGTGCAGTGGCTCAATCATAGCTCACTTCAGCCTGGAACTCCTGCACTCAAGCAATCCTCCTGAGTAGCTAGGACTACAGGCACCACACCTGGCTAATTTATTAAAAATTCTTTGTATGTAGAGATAGAGGTCTCACTATGCTGCC